ATTATTATTATTATTATTATTATCAATAGGGGCGAGATGGCAGCTAGGGGTCAGATGGCATAGTGGGGCGAGATGGCAATGGTTGCAGAATTTAGTTTTGGACACTAAGCCAAAATATTTGTCATTGAAATCTGCAATAGAAATGTTATGTACACTGAAGGCTGAAAAAATACTTTTCCATATAAAAATCAAGCAAAAATTAATTTTCGCTCATCAACTATTTTACAATTTTAGTAAAAAAGCTGAAATATAAATAAGTATTTTTTTTAGCCTAAAACCTCAATTTTCTAAGCTCCTAAATTTTTGCCCAAGTAAATAACTTTTTTACAATTTTTGGATTGAGATMAAATGTGTCCTGTTATAAGTACTCCAAGGCCATTATTTTGAGCCAAGTGGGAAAAATTATGACATGATATAACCTAAAATTTGAATAATATTTGCATCTGTTATAAATGATTTTCCAGCCAGACCAGGACTATTCATTGCCCATGTTCCTGTTATCTTGAATGATGATCGTGATAATCCATATCGAATACTGGAATTAAGAGGACAGCTTAAGGCTCCATCATTAAAATTTGAACCTGAAAGCATTGTGATGATTCCTACACCACTACATATTCCTGTGACAATGGACTTCAAGATTGTTGCTTCTGGTTATAGAAAGTGAGTTCATTATAATTRTTAAAAACATATTGTGTACTGTACACTGATGAATGCATTACTTTCTAAAGCTTGTCCAATAGTTCCCAGTAACTGTAAGTCAGTACAAAGTAATTGTATAGAATAATTGATGTTGATAAATAATTGTGTTAAGTTAATATAATTGTGTTAGGTACATGTAAATATAAAAAATGAACAGTATAGTGTAATATTCAAGTTTAAAACCCAAGTGCATCATACATCATCATACATTAATTATATTTTATTATTCAGGACTGCCTTTGTGGCTTGTGAAGTACCTTCAATTGAATTAGAGAATGGCAGTATCATGGATGTTATTGAGGTGTCCTTCCCAGATGGCCAGACCATCAAACCTTGCTGTAGTGACAATGGTGATATAGATTATATTGTACATGGACAGATCACCTTCAAATCACYAAGTCCTGTATCATTCAGTGGTGCAGTTACTTTCAATGATGGATTTAAAAAGTGAGTTACTTCCAAAGCCATTTTAAAGATGGGTCAATGATTCATTATAAGAGAAAGGAAATTTATAATAAATTCTAGTTTTGTTTATCTGTATTTAATAGACTAGACTAGAATCATAATACCCAGGTGGATTTTCCTTGGGAGCAGGTTGATATTTAATTAATGTCACATAGGAAAGACCTTTTCTTGAATGCGAGACATACTAGATTATTTACAAATAATGAAATTTATGATAAAATAATCTTATTTTAAACTTTTCATTAAAGGTACCACCTACCACTTGCAGCAACAGCTGATAACTGCCTTCTTACCACCTTCCATTTCCTTGCTGCTCACCGTGATGACTTTCATATTGTATGTGGYCAGGAACAGCCAGCAAATATAGAAGAGAATCAAGCAGAAGGTAGCAGACTTATTCCTGGTGAGGCAGTCATTAAACCTTGTGTTACCCCACAACGTCCATCCACTCAGGCATCAACAACAGCCACAAGTACAACATTTGGAATCAGTTCTTCAACCTACCAGGAATCCAGYGCAAGTGTAACACCATCTACATTCCCGTCAACACCACACAATGCAGAACAGACACATAAGGGTGAATCACCTAAAGTGGAGTCAGTACTATCAGATGATCAAGATGCATATTGTGTTAGTCCGTCTGTTGAAAGTGAGGAAAAAAAGTTCCTAACAGCTGTTGTTGTTGCTATTCAAAGGTAACAAGTCTGTTAGTAATTGATGACCTCTAAATGAACACATAAACTAAGTGCAACATCATGAGAAAGTACAGAAAATCTGTTTTAAGGTGATGCAAGTAAGACTTGTAGAGGTTTTCATACAGACTGATGGCCATAGTAATAATAGTAATAATTATATAGAAGTGTAGATTTTCCAGACTCRCATATTTTAAACCTGAATTAAATGCAATCACATTGCCGTGCGGCAGATCCTGGAGATCATTTGAAAGATCCACCTAATATGACTTGTGTTTGTACTGACATTTTTAATAATCACATCATTAAAAATAATATTTGTTGTTTAGATGGTTTTCGGTACAGGGCTGGGCTGGTGGACAGTTCCCCATTACTATCCCACAATCCTTTAGTATGGCACTGAAAAACCAAAGTGAAGGACCACCAAGCAACACTGCTATGATGCGCACTACCAACTGGGACAACAATGCAAAGAAAGAAATGCGCTCTGTGTTTGACTTGGTATCGCATATTTGTGGTCGGTCTGTTCCAGGTATTCCACTGGCATCTACCTTGCCTACAGACCCAACAGAGAGAATGCGTCAAGCTCACTGGATGTACTCTACACTTCTTACATTCCTCCGCACTCAAGGAGCAATGTTACCAAGTGTTAAACCTGAACATTTACTAGCACCAAGTGAATATCGGCTTTGGCAAGATTTGCAGAATACTGTTGATCCCAATGAAATTCTTGATGCTGAGATAAAGAAGACCCGATTGAAGGAYGCCAGAAGGGACTTGCTTAGGTTTCCTTCAGTATCCAGGAAATCATGGACTGATGTTTTGGCTCAGATTATTAAGGTGAGAGGATGAAAAAACATTTGATTATTATTCATCAGCATTGAAGTTGTACATTCAATGATTTGTAGATATGATACCTCATAGTATTGTTTGGATGATATCATAGGTTCTCCTTCTAAGCCGCATCACTCCTCAACAGTACAAGAAACTCCAGTCTCCTTTCAGAGACACTCCTCCAAAGTTTAATTCTGACCCTTTGTGYAGTAATGTRTACAGTGTAGGGGAGAGGGTTCTCCTATCTTGGATCAACCATCATTATGATATACAGAGACAGAAAGGTTGGCCAGGGACCATGGATGGTGAGTGTTTGATATTATTATYCTTATKGTCATTGAAAATTGAAATTAAATAATGAGCCTTACARCAAAAATCGTTGCATCGCAACTTATTCGTTTCGAAGTTTGTTTTGATTTTGTTCTTTCYTTCGATCTAAGGAACGGAGCTTTTTGGAAACTCGTTCAGTCATTGGCTGATTTGCAGCAAGCTCCGAACAATGTCGCGAGTTGCAAGTCGSGATGCAACAGTTTCTGCTGTAAACTAAATGATTACAAAGTCTGTACACAAAGACCAAAGTCTTAAATACTGTGCAATTTATTACTAGAAATGAACAGAGGTAACACCATTTGAGTAGTAGTGCATGATTTAATTTTCTGTACTACCAAAGTCC